TTGTTATCGATTGATATCGATTGCCATCGATTGTTATCGATTATCGGTTTCATCGATTGATCACGCCGGGGACCCATTCGTGCAAAACTTGACGCGTTTCGTGGAACATAAACGATCACCGACAGGGATATGATTACACTGGAATGTTGTAAGCCACTAGATATCCCGTGGAGATGTAGGACTAAAAGTTCTACATCTCCACGGGATCCCAGGTCTGTTTTTTTGGTTGCTAAGAACGTCTGGTGATACGGCATGCTTCTGTTGAATGCAAGGGCTACTTTTGTTAGTGACATAAGACATGGACAGCGATATGAAATCATCAGTTGAAAGGAGCTACCGTGTATCAATTTCTTGTGGCCGGTTTTGTATACAAGCCAAATGACGGTGGACGATCACCCAAAGTGTGAAGTGCAATGCAAACGAAGAGGAGGGTCTCAATGAGAGGGGGAGGTGGGGGGAGTGCCTTTGACGATTGATGGTTAAAAATAGGTGGTTTTGACAGTTGACGGTTAAATTTTAGGTCACTTGATGGTTGACAGTCAATTTTTCGGAATGACGTTTATAACTCGAAATTAAAGCGTAAATCTGGCTGTAACTTTTCACTAAAGGATAGAATTTTGCCCTTTTTTGAATAATCCAGTTAGTTCAATAATTTGTGCAATAAAAATTAGGTTTTTGGTCTTCAAATATTTGTCTAATTAGCGTAATCACTTCCTTTGTTGGGGGTAGACGCATAAATCGCCTGCTCCCTACACAAGGATTGAACGCAGTCACAAATTTTACAAATTTTACGATCTTTCGTTTGAGTTTGAAATTAATTTAGCAAATTTTGCGATTTGTTGTTAACCTCTACAAGATTTACAAAAATTCGCTGCCTCGACGATTTCTCGGCACGTTGTGGCGAAACTTGCAATTTTATAATAATCCATCCGCAAGCGCCGGCTTGCAGAGTTTACAAAATTTACAAAATTTGCGATTTTTCGCTAACTTCACGATTTTTTGTTAAATCATTGCCAAATCTGCGATTTTTTTGCACCTCTTTGTAATACAAATTCCACCTAAGATGACATGTACAAGCATGTTTCTGTTCCCTCCAGAACGATAAAGCGGGATGAAAATATGCCATTACCGCACACATGTAACACACAAAGAAAGATAACAAACAAGCTGTATGTCTCTCTCGTTCTTAAAGCGTTTGTTGTTGACCGAGTATCGTAAAGCGGAGGCCTACTCTGGGACCTTAAGT